GCTACGCTAAATGTAAGTCTGTCAAAATGGCTCGTTTGTGAACGGCTCATGTTTGACTAGCTAAGAAGCTCTTGTTCGACTCACTGGTTAAGTTAAAGAGTCTAACGCCGAACAAAGATTTATTTGTTTGTGTTTGGTTCGTTTTGACTCGAAATACTACTGATCAATTATATATATCTTTGATGAGTAGTATTTTTAAAAAATTGAATTGACTACAGGGCTATAAGGATTTATAATCAATTATAAGTATTAATTAAGAAAATAGAAATAAAATTATTAAATTAGATTCAAATGATGTTTTAATATAAACAATAATTTTAAATCTTACCCCAATCCTTAACATCTTATGGTTATCTTATTAGGGTTGTCAAAACGATTCTTTGTTAGCAAACGAGCCGAACACGAACACACTTTTTGAGCTCGAAATATAAACGAGTCGAACACGAGCTACACCCCTAGCTAAATGTAAACAAATCATGCTATATTAATTTATATATGAATAGCCTAAAAGAGGTAGGAAAATTAAGATAATTAACTTAAGTGTTACAAACTGAATGCACGGGATTTTTATTTTATTTAGAATGCACGAGATTTTTATTTTTTTTATTTTTGAAGATTTACATGCATACCACTTTATTCCTATTTATTTACATCTAAACTTCAATTTTTTACATGCGTATTAGGCATGAAAAGGCATATTTCACATTTAAATTGATGGAATTTTTTGTGGCAAAATTTGGTGGCATAAATGTAAAAAAGGTGACTTTTAGGTGTTATATGCGTAAATTCATAAGCATTAAACCTTATGTATATAATGCCCCATTTTTTTTTTTGGAAATTCTCAAAACAACCCTTTAGTTATATTCAGAGAAGAAAATTCGATGAATAATCAACCAAATTGTAATTAATTTATAATTAAAAATATAACTTTCGGTGCTAGAAACTTACACAGCATATCATATTTATACATGAAAAGGCTTCTAAAAAATTAGTAATAACAATACTTTTGATATAATATTAAAAATTTTAAGTATTATTTATATGCAAGGCTATATTTAAAAACACTGTTACTAATTATCACAACGCTGTCAAAATGGCTCGTTTGTGAACGGCTCATGTTCGACTAGCTAAGAAGCTCTTGTTCGACTCACTCGCTAAGTTAAAGAGTCTAACGCCGAACAAAGATTTATTTGTTTGTGTTTGGTTCGTTTTGACTCGAAATACTACTGATCAATTATATATATCTTTGATGAGTAGTATTTTTAAAAAATTGAATTGACTACAGGGCTATAAGGATTTATAATCAATTATAAGTATTAATTAAGAAAATAGAAATAAAATTATTAAATTAGATTCAAATGATGTTTTAATATAAACAATAATTTTAAATCTTACCTCAATCCTTAACATCTTATGGCTATTTTATTAGGGTTGTCAAAACGATTCTTTGTTAGAAAACGAGCCGAACACGAACACATTTTTTGAGCTCGAAATATAAACGAGTCGAACACGAGCTACACCCCTAGCTAAATGTAAACAAATCATGCTATATTAATTTATATATGAATAGCCTAAAAGAGGTAGGAAAATTAAGATAATTAACTAGTGTTACAAACTGAATGCACGAGATTTTTATTTTTTTTATTTTTGAAGATTTACATGCATACCACTTTATTCCTATTTATTTACATCTAAACTTCAATTTTTTACATGCGTATTAGGCATGAAAAGGCATATTTCACATTTAAATTGATGGAATTTTTTGTGGCAAAATTTGGTGGCATAAATGTAAAAAAGGTGACTTTTAGGTGTTATATGCGTAAATTCATAAGCATTAAACCTTATGTATACAATGCCCCATTTTTTTTTGGAAATTCTCAAAACAAAGAAAATAAATACTTTTAATTATATTCAGAGATGAAAATTTGATGAATAATCAACCAAATTGTAATTAATTTTTAATTAAAAATATAACTTTCGATGCTAGAAACTGACGCAGCATATCATATTATACATGAAAAGGCTTATAAAAAAATTAGTAATGACAATACTTTTGATATAATATTAAAAATTTTAAGTATTATTTATATGCAAGTCTATATTTAAAAGCACTGTTACTAATTATCACTACTAGCCACATTAAATCATGGACTTACTATATATATATATATATATTAAAAGGATTGGCTGGAGGCTATTAGTCGAGCCCTGGTCATCCCTAATGCGCCTAACCATTTGAGTACCCACACCCTACACACGGGAGGATTCGAACCCAAACTAGAGGGGACTGACACCGCCGAAGAGGATACTCTACCAACTGACCTGGTGATACAGTGCACGAGGCCAGCACTATATATATATATATAACAGTTTCAAAATAACAGATTGACGAACAGTCCTCCCCAGTTGAACTACACTGTACAAGAAGAATACAATTTATGCATTACAAAATTTGAATGAAGGGCGAAGAATTAATTAATTCCTAGTACATACCGCAACTGTACATTTGTATTATTTACAACTCTAAATACAAAACAAAATTTAGCTAACAATTCTAACTTCAATTCTATACCCTCCCCTACGCTATCAAGGTTGGATTCAAATGGGCAAACTTCATGTACATTCCTTCCAGTTTTTTACCAGACTTGAGGGTCTGAGCACAGGAAAACCAAAGTCAAAACTAACCTGCCAACTATTGAAAGCAAGTTTTAGCGCACTTTATTTCTCTCCATTCCTGCAAAAATTGTAGAAACATTAATGCAATGCAGTTAACTAAAATAATGTAAAAAATAGAGCAGATGTGCACCAAAGAAACTGGATTTTAAGGGAAATCGGCGTTTAGCCAGCTTCTCCTTCTTCGGCGGTGTATCTTGCATCTCCCTCGTCAAAGAAACTGGTCCCTTCAGGACTTTTTCATGGTAAATGGCCGGCGGTGCAAGCCTCAACTGAGGTAAGATATTCATATGGAGAGACTTATTTTTCTCGAGGTTGTTCAAGATATCAAACTGGATAGAGGTCATGCAATGATAAGTTAGTAAAGCAAGAAAAAGTGTAATAAGTAATTTTAGTCGAACAAAACTATTACTTTCTCATACCCTAGAAATGTGCTGGAGGCCATAGGACTTATCTATCAAATCAGTTTCATGCAGATGTTGCAAGCTAGAGTTTCTTGGGGTTGAGATAACATTATTAACTAATCCTTTCTCAGCGATAGCTGCTTTACTTCTTGGTTTTGGGTTTTTCTTAATCTGACAAACAGGGCACATAACTGCAGAAATTGTGCAATGGTGTTCGTTTTCTCCGGACTCGCAGTGGAGATGGATCGAATGTCCGCAGTTAAATATTCGAATCCCGGAAGAAGACGATACCTTTGTAAGAGGCAAGCCGCAGAAGCAGCAGGTTAGAGTTTGTGGTGCCAAAGCATGCAAAGCTCCCTTTTTTAGAACGCCCATGGTATAGAATGTGTCATCTTCTATTAATGATTTGGCTGTATCCTAGAGAATAGAGAAAATGCAGTTTAAGTATGAGATGCATAACTAAAAGGAACAATAACATTGAATATGGGAAAAACATGTTAGGAAAATGAAACTAGACTTTTCACATAAAATCTTGAAGTAGGTAGAAATGGAAAGTTTAACGTATGTAGTTTAACTTAAGCAATTCATTATAGGGAAATTTAAATACATACCCCACACAATTATTATATATTTACATATCTAACACCAAAAATTTGATAATTAGAATCAAGCCACCTCGGTGTCATAAACCTGTGCTTTTATATATTTACATATCTAACACCCAAAATCTGATATTTAGAATCAAGCCACCTCGGTGTCGTAAACCTGTGCTTAAAAAGATGTATTTAACTTTTAAAAAGTTCTTAATGTTAAAGATCTGAGTGTTATGAATGTAAATATGAAAGATTAGGAGTTAGATATGTAAATAAATAACTGTGGTATGCATGTAAATGTCAAACTCATTATATATATTTTATAAGGAGAGATATCATTGGAAATTGGCAAGTGCCCAAACTGCCAAAATTTTCACCAAAGCAACCCAATCCTTTACAAGGCTCCTTCAACTCAAGGATCTAGAGTGTGATACATTCAACAATAGACAAAATACTAAAGAAGAAATATCATAAAAATGAAATACTGTTCAGTACCAAAATATTTCTATTAACTTATCAAATGAAAAAAGAGAGCACAAATGGGCAACGACTGCTAAGCATATCCACCCGAAGTTAGTATTACAAATAGAAGGCGCCTTAGTAAGCTGCAGATCCAAAAAATAGCTAAGAAAACAACAAGCGGCATCTACATTCATACCACACTATTTTTATATATTTTGCATACTTAACACCTAAACTTTCCTATTTACATGCATAACACTCAAATCTTCAACATCACATCAAAAATACACTCTTATCAACATTAATGTGAAATACACCATTTCATGCATAGATTTATAGCACCAAAGTGTTGTAAATGTGCATGTATATATATATATATCAAACATTAGGTGATAGATATGTAAATACATAAGAATTTTGTGGTATGTTAGTTAAATTCTCAAACATCAAAGATGTCACAGAAATACAGCAGATTATGTTTAATTGGAAATACCAGTATTCTTCTCTCATAGTTGTAACTTCCCAACATTTTCAGAATTGTCATTTTAAAATCACCAAACTCTTGATTTCTATTGTCTGAAAGGAACTTAAGCATTACTGCGGAAAGGGGTACATATCCTGCCATTCCCTCCATGATTTCTCCAATAAATTGGGAAAATAGTCTTTTCAAAATATTATCACATTTCTTAAGCTTTGAAAGCTTGTATCGAGACAATAATTCATTGGTGACAACAAATGACTTGGAACCAGCAATCAATTTGCCATAATCGGTTTTCCCTTCAGGAGCTTCCTTGCAGCTGCAGAATCTGCTAAGTGGCTCAGAGAACCTGCATAAAACTAAAATTTAAAAATCAGAAATACAATTAAACAAAATCAACACTAATTTCAATAGGAAAAAGATATTCCAATAGAATAAATAAAACAAGCACAAATACAAAGCCTAAAACGTGAATAACATATCCTTACAATAGCACCACATTACTATTCTAAATGAAAGGTATTGGAGGTTGTTAATAATATCAAAATTTACAAATCCAAAATTAACATGAACTAAATAAATCCACATATCACCTATATGCTAGAGAGCATGACAAGAATCGCCAATAATGAAGGAAAGCACAATTAAAAAAATAAACACAATTTACTTTAAATAAATAATTGGAAAATAACTTTAGAAGTCAAATGTCTGAGATCGAATACTCTAAGAAGAAATAATTAGGTGCATAACAAACACACACATTGAATAAAATACGGAAAGGTACATGCAAAGAATGTACAATCACATGTACAGATTTGTCTTGCACATGTCATATGCACGCTCTTTCACACACATTTGTTGGGGTTGGTATCGATTCAAGTTCAAGCTAGTCATAAATCAAAATTTTGAATTCCGCTCGAGCCAAGACTAATTATAAAATAACTTTTAAATTTCTAAAAGAGATTATTTACATAGAAATATATATTCATGTACTTAAGCACCCCATGTATGTATGAAATATAAGTGTATTTATAAATTATATACTTGTGATATATAAATGTGTGTTGACCTCATTTTTTGTGAGGTCTAATCTTCCTCTTAGGGTTTAGGATCTAGCCTTAGGGACCTCCCTTCGACTATTTTAGAACATTAGAAATGGGACCCGCCTTATTCTAGAAATTCAACCCACTTCTGTCCCCTTCTGGAGTTTCGCGTGTGTGGTATCGCCGCTTCTGCCCCCTTCTGGAGTTGCGCGTGTGTGGTATCGACTTCTAGCACTTAAAATGGTGAAACCAACATGAGGAAACCCAAAAGGGATCCCTATAGGACCTTCCTGAGCCTTAGAGTGGCCTTTTGCACAATTCGCACCCCCGCGCGCACAAATTTTGTCATTCGGAGAGTCGACACGTCCGATCGTCTCAATTCGCATCGCTTGCACTGTTACCCGTCGAAGACTCGAATAAACCTTTGAAGTGATCGATCGCGGGTCGAAATTTTGTAAAATTTGAATTTTGACGCGTTTTTGACCCGATTGTCGACGAAGTCGTCCGGGCGACCCCGGATGATAAAACGGACTGCACCGGCACGTCCGGAGCGTCGATTTTGCCTAAGGAGGACACCCATTTTGTTACGACGCCGCGCGCGAGTAAATCGCATATAATTTAATATATATATATATATATTAATTT